AAATTACATTGATAGAGCATGGATAATACAATTTGTATAGTGTAAAGTCACTAGATGCTCATGGGATCAAGCAAGAAGATTGGTGGCAGCTAGGGTAGATATTTGTGACCAAAAATGTAGCAGTTAGGGAAATAACCAGCACTACACCCTGAAATGGGAGTCATGAGAAGGAAATGCTTACATTCCTCTTTCAAACTGCATCCAACAGTAATGCCAGGATAAATTTTAATCCACCACCATGCAGTTAGTTTGCATGGATAATCAGAGGAGTTTTTCATCTTCCTTTTTTTCAATATGTAACACAATTCAGAGTCCAGGAAAAGTATCTGCCAGGCAGACAGACAGACAGACAAGTAATGTATAACCTTTTCGTGATTACTTTAATCTTGAGGGGAAGCACTGTTGGTTTTTCGTATTAAAGCAGATTTGCTTTTTCTAGACTGCCTGTCTTTTACAAGCCTAACTGACAAGTTTTTTAATTGTCTCTAACAGCGTTACTGTTGGCATATTTTATCAAGCAAATTTCATGTACCTTCTAAATACGTTACTGATTTTGCTGATTATTTTGTGACCAAAATAAATCCTATGGTAAATTGAAAATGGGGTGGTTGTATGCGGTGGACAAGGATTTTGGGGACCCTTCAACACAGTCCTATAATCTAGAATATCAAGGGAGAAAATCCCACAATATCTGCTTTGAACTGGGTTATACGAGTCCACACTGCCATATATTCCAGTTCAAAATGATCACAATATATGGACTGAACATACAGACTGAGTTGGACACGATTTTATCCTGGCGAATGGCTTTTATGTAATTTTATGTAATTTATGTAATGTAATTGGTAACTTAATGTTGTGTATTATGTTTTAGATTTTCAGTGTTAGCATTGAATCTTTGCTGATAGCCGGTCTGAGTCCCTCTGCAGAGGTGGAGAAGGTCGGGATATAAAACTTTTAAATAAATAAATAAAGCAGATAATGTGGGATTTTATTCAACTGTGTGGGGGCCTGAGTCTCAACTATAATAATAATAATAATAATCATCATCATCATCATCATCATCAACATATTTATTTATACCCCGCCACCATCTCCCCCAACGGGGACTCGGGGTGGCTTACATGAAGCCAAGCCCAAACAACAAATTACAATAAAATAAAATACAAGTTACAATAAAATAAACAACATCGCAATAAAGTACAAAACATATGAACACAATAAACAATATACAAAAAAATATTTAAAAAAAACAGTAAACCAAACATAATAACAGTGAGCGGGCCACATGTATATAAAATGATTTAAAAACTCAGGGTGAGATAAAGGAGCAGAATTATTTGTGAGTGAGAACTCATGGAGAGACGGTGATAGACTGACCTTCGTACAAGGGGGTGTTCTCCTAGGACAAGAACGTTGAGGGGAGCAATAGCTTAAGATTATATGACTACTCTCCAAAAGCCCAACGGCAGAGCCAGGTATTGAGATTCTTTTTAAAGGTTTCCAAGGTAGGGGCTTTCCTAATCTCTTCGGGCAATGAGTTCTAGAGTCAGGGGGCCACAGAAGAGAAGGCTCTCTACCTTGTATCCACAAGGCAAGTCTGAGAAACTGGCAAAGGCGAAAGGAGGGCCTCCCCTGAAGATCGAAGAGTTCGGGCTGGTTCATGGAGAGAGATACGGTCACGAAGGTAGGCGGGTCCCAAACCGTTTAGAGCTTTATAGGTCAGAACCTGTACCTTGAATTGAGACCGGAAAATGAACAACAGCCAATTGAGCTCCTTAAACAGAGGGGTTGACTGCTCCCTGTAAGTTGCCCCAGTTATTAATCTGGCTGCCGACCGACTAATTCAACATCATTTGTGGCAGCCACAAAGCAAACTTTCTGGAGAATAAAAATGACTTTCAAAGTAAGTGAGCAAAGTAAGAGTTTTAGGTGCTCTTACTGCCTATTACAGGGAAAACCAGCTGATTCCTAATCCATCTAAAAAACAGACTTGTGCTTTTCATCTTAAGAACAGACAAGCATCTCGATTATCTGGGAATGAATCCCAATGGAGCATTGCAGCACACCCAAATACCTGGGAGTTACCCTGGATTGTGCTCTGACTTACAAGGAGCACTGCTTGAATAACAAGCAAAAAAGTGGGTGCTAGAAATACCATCGTACGAATGCTTACTGGCACAACCTGGGGATCACAACCAGACACAGTGAAGACATCCACCCTTGCACTTTGCTACTCTGCTGCTGAATACGCATGCCCAGTGTGGAATACATCTCACCACATTTAAACAGTGAATGTGGCTCTTAATGAGACATGTACATTATCACAGGATGTCTACGCCCTACATCGCTGGAGAAATTTATGCTGTTTAGCCATATTGCACCACCTGACATCCGCCGGGAAGTAGCAGCCAGCAATGTAAGGATGAAGGCAGTGACATCTCTAGTCCATCCCCTGTTCGGATATCAGCCAGCATGCCAACGACTTAAATCAAGAAACAGCTTCCTAAGATCTACAGAGCTAATCACAGGAACACCTCAGCAAGCAAGAGTCCAAAAGTGGCAGGCAAAAACCCAGACCCTCAAGCCATGGCTGATACTGGTGAGACTTCCTCCTGGGCACACAGAAGACTGGACAACTTGGAAGGCGCTGAACAGACTGTGCTTTGGCACCACGGGATGCATAGCCAACCTTAAGAAATGGGGCTACAAAGTGGAGTCCATGACATGCGAGTGTGGAGAAGAGCAAATGGCAGACCACCTATTACAATGCAGCCTGAGCCCAGCTACATGCACAATGGAGGACCTTCTCACAGCGACACCAGAGGCACTCCAAGTGGCTAGCTTCTGGTCAAAGGAAAGTTAGCATAATGCCCAGCTTTTAACTTTGTATACATTTTTATACATGATAACTGTATTCTTAATTTGCTTCTGACACGATAAATAAATAAATCCATGGATGTTGAGATCCATGGGAGTCTTGGAACAAAACCCTAGCAGATACTGAGGATACACTGTATTTTCTGACTCCATATGTTGCCAAATTACATATCCCAGCATTCCTCACCCATGGCTATACTGGCTCAGACTGCTGGGAGTTGCACTCCAATAGTATTTGGAGAGCCACACTGTGTCCATCCCAGCACAAGACAATTAATAACGGTCATTAATGTCATTTAAAAGTTTAAGGTTTAAGAGAAGGGGTGTGAGATGATGAAGATGCTGCGGCTCTTTATTCAGGCCTCACCTTTCCTTCAAAAAGGCATCTTACAAATCAAGGAACCCCTCTAGACTGCCATATAAAATCCAGATTATCTGCTTTGAACTGGATTATATGACAGTGTAGACACCAGGCCCTTCTACACTGCTATATAATCCATGCAGATAATCCTCATTATCTGCTTTGACCTGATTTATATGACAGTGTAAACTCAGGGCCCTTCTATACTGTCTACACTGTGATATAATTCAGTTTATGCCTATTGTAATTTTATATTGCTATGTTTTCAAATGTTTTATGTAATTGTGTTGTTTGTTGTTTATTGTTTGTGTTTTCAGTTTTATTTTATTGTAATTTTCTGTTTGGGCTTGGCCTCATTGGCTCCGAGTCCCCATTGGGGAGATGGTGGCGGGGTATAAATAAAGATTATTATTATTATTATTATTATTATTATTATTATCCAAGCAGAGAATCCACATTAGGTTAGGTAAAGGTTGTCCCCTGACATTAAGTCCAGTCATGTCTGACTCTGGGGTGTGGTGCTCATCTCCATTTCTAAGTCGAAGAGCCAGCGTTGTCCATAGACACCTCCAAGGTCATGTGGCCAGCATGACCACACGGAGCATCGTTACCTTCCCGCCAGAGCGGTACCTATTGATCTACTCACATTTGCATGTTTTCGAACTTCTAGGTTGGCAGAAGCTAGGGCTGACAGCGGAAGCTCATGCCGCTCCCTGGAATCGAACCTACGACCTTTTGGTCAACAAGCTCAGCAGCTCAGTGCTTTAACCCACTGGGCCCCATTTTCTGCTTTGAATCCATATTATGTACTTTGAATTGGATCATACGAGTCTACACTGCCATATAATCCAGTTCAAAGCAGATCATCTGAATGTTGTAGGTCAGTGTAGAAGAGGCTTCATATAATCCAGTTCAAATTGTATAATGTGGTTTGTCTGCTTTCATAATCTGGATTATATGGCAGTGTAGAAGGGACCTAAAATAAGTACAATATACCTAGAAATGTAGAAAAGATAGTTTCACAATTAAAAAATGGCAGAAAACAGTTCCAAAATAGTACAATTAAAACCTCTTACGAACACTTTTTCTTATCTGGGTTGTTGTGAGTTTTCTGCATGGCCATGTTCCAGAAGCACTCTCTCCTGACGTTTCGCCCACACCTAGAGCAGGCATCCTCAGAGGTTGTGAAGTCTGTTTGAAACTAGGAAAATTGGGTTTATATATCTGTGAAATGTCCGGGGTGGAAGCAGGTGTGAATGTTTCAATTGGCCACCTTTATTAGCATTTAATGGCCTAACAGTTTCAAAGTGTGGCTTCTTACTGCTTAGGGGAATCTTGTTAAGGGAATCTTATTCTTCTTTGTCAAAAATCTGTTAGAAGAAGGCTGCCAAATTAAATTAGTTTGATACCACTTTAACTGCCATTGGCTCAATGCAATGGAATCCTGGGAGTTGTAGATGCACAAAGTCTGCTTAAGGGCGCCACTAAACTACAGCTCCCATGGCTCCAAAGTCTTGAGCCTTGGCAGTGAAGGTGGTGCCGGATTGCATTTAAATTCTCCATAAATAGAGATTATCCATGGAATTTAGGAGACTGGAGACTGTGTATCCGTAAAATACACAGAATATTTAAGGCCAATTATGAAATGCAATTCAAGGGTAAAGGGGGCATTGTTGGGCCTAGCCTTCGGATACTGAACCGGGAACAGATTTCGGGAGTATAATCCGGATCGCGCTCCCATTGGTCCAGACTCGCAGATGTAAACACAAGGAGGCGGAGTTAAGGGAATCTGGTTTTCCTACCGGCGAGGTTTGCTCTCTCCCTTTCACTGGATCCTTGCAAAACTATCCTGGAGGAAAGACTCTCTCGCCTGCATCACTAAGGTAACGCCAAGTCTGGGTTTGCATCTACACTGTCAAATTAATGCAGTTTGGTACCACTTTAATTGCAAGGGATTGACACTATGGATTCCTGGGAGTTGTGGTTTGGGGAGGCACCAGCTCTCTTTGGCAGAGAAGGCCGAAGACCTTGTAAAACTACAACTCCCATGACCCATGGCAGTTAAAGAGGTATCAAACTGCGTTAATTCCACAGTGCAGATTCCATTATGAGGCCTTTAAGAAGTCATCCCAGGGCCCTTCCAGACAGCTTTATATCCCAGAATATCAAGACAGAAAATCCCACATCATCTGAGTGTGGACTCATATAACCCAGTTCAAAGCAGAAATTGTGGGATTTTCTGCCTTGATATTCTGTGTGGAAGGGCTCCCAGTATTCAAACACTGACAAGCTGGAATGTGTCCAGAGGAGGGCGACTAAAATGATCAAGGGTCTGGAGAATAAGCCCTATGAGGAGCGGCTTAAAGACCAGGGCATGTTTAGCCTGAAGAAGAGAAGGCTGAGACATGATAGCCATGTATAAATATGTGAAAGGAAGTCATAGGGAAGAGGGAGCAAGCTTATTTTCTGCTGCCCTGGAGACTAGGATGTGGAACAATGGCTTCAAACTACAAGAAAGGAGATTCCATCTGAACATGAGGAAGAACTTCCTGACTGTGAGAGCTGTTCAGCAGTGGAACTCTCTGCCCTGGAGTGTGGTGGAGGCTCCTTCTTTGGAAGCTTTTAAACAGAGGCTGGATGGCCATCTGTCGGGGCTGCTTTGAATGCAATTTTCCTGCTTCTTGGCAGGGGGTTGGACTGGATAGCCATGAGGTCTCTGCCAACTCTATGATTCTATGTATGTGATGGGAAAATACGGCCTAATTTCTTCCAACTAGCCCAACCCTATATGCAACTGTACTATTTGGGAATTTAGGAAGATATGTAATGGACAACGGCCAGTGTAATAATATAGTAATATGTAATAATGTAATAGTATATCCCTTCTGACTAGCCCAAGCATGGGCAAACTTTGGCCCTCCAGGTGTTTTGAACTTCAACTCCCAGAAATCCCAGCCAGCTTATTAACTGTTAGGAATTGTGGGAGTTGAAACCACCCCATTCAAAGCAGTAGCACATTGTCATTGCGTAATAGCAAAACCGCTCTGATCAGAGTACATGTGCATTTGAAAGTTCTAAAAGTAAATTAGCACAGATGAAATTAGATCAGCGCCCTCCCTTCTGGCCTTCAAAAGAAAAGTTAAAGCTTGGCTATGGGGCCAGGCCTTTGGGCAGTAAGCAATAAAAGGAATGATCAGGGATTATGTGCAATAGATATACTTAGAACGGCCTGGACTACGATGGTTGGATTGTGTGATTTTAATATTTATATTGATATGTTTTTAATTCCGTGTTTTAATGGTAAATGATGTTGTGCTCTATGATTTAATTGATTTTTTTTATCGTGTCAGGAGCAACCAAACATTTGTATTATGTTTTTAACAAAACAAACAAACAAACAGACAAAACACAAAGTTTGCAAGCGTGGTAGTTGATTAAATGTCCTTTGACCAGTATCTGGCCACTTGGAGTGCCTCTGGTGTTGCCGCAAGAAGGTCCTCCATTGTGCATGTGGCAGGACTCAGGTTGCATTGCAGCAGGTGGTCAGTGGTTTGCTCTTCTCCACACTCGCATGTCGTGGATTCCACTTTGTGGCCCCATTTCTTGAGGTTGGCTCTGTATCTCGTGGTATCAGAGTGCAGTCTGTTTAGCGCCTTCCAAGTCACCCAGTCTTCTGTGTGCCCAGGGGGGAGTCTCTCATTTGGTATGAGTTCTGGGTTTGAGCCTGCCACTTTTGGACTCTCGCTTGCTGGGGTGTTCCAGCGAGTGTCTCTGTAGATCTTAGAAAACTATTTCTGGATTTAAGTCGTTGACGTGCTGGCTGATATCCAAACAAGGGATGAGCTGGAGATGTCTCTGCCTTGATTCTTTCACTATTGGCTGCTACCTCCCAGTGGATGTCAGGTGGTGCAATACCGGCTAGACAGTGGTGTAGGGCGCAGACACCCCGTGATAATGCGGCATGTCTCATTAAGAGCCACATCCACTGTTTTAGCGTGGTGAGATGTGTTCCACACTGGGCATGCATACTCAGCAGCAGAGGAGCAAGCGCAAGGGCAGATGTCTTCACTGTGTCTGGTTGTGATCCCCAGGTTGTGCCAGTCAGCTTTGTATGATATTGTTTCTAGTATATTATTTAATTGATAATTGTATTTTATCGTTATGTTCGGTTTGACTATATGAGGCATTACATTTTACCATAATTATGTTGGCAACCGCTCTTTTTTAGCTATATTTTTTTATTAAACACTTCAAAGAGAATATTATTTACATAAAAAGAGGTGGAACAATATTGTAAGAGAAGTAGTGGGAAATGTAAGTATGTAGAATATACATAGAAAGAGGCGGAACAATATGGTAGGAGAGAAAGTAGGAAATATAAGTGTATTAACCAGAACTGCAACTACTGTCTCACACACACACACACACACACACAAAGAGAGAGAGAGAGAAAGTTTCTTTGAACTTCCATTCTAAGCCTCTGCGGTAATTAGTTTCTTAATGATTGTTTGAAAAATAAAAATGCTATACTGAATAAAAAATGGAGTGGGAACAGAGGGTCCCTTATTTTCCAATTTCTATTATTGGAAACCGCTTTGAGTCCCCCGCTGGGGTAAGAACAGCTGAAGTAAATAAATAAGTAAATAGGTCAAATGCTACAGTGCATGTAAACTAGTGTTTAGTTATGGTTTAAATAAAAAAAAATCTGCTGAAATACTGCACAAAAATAGTTGTCACCCTGTTCAGTTCATAGGCTCCAAAACATCCTAGTAATGCTTCCTTATATGCACATATATTGTATCTGTGTGTGTGCCTTCAAGTAGACTTGAAGGCACATACACATGGACTAACTAGATGACCCCTGAGGTCTTCCACTGAAATACTGTTAAATTTATGTTGGTTAAAATTGTTCTTGGTTTTAAATACTGTATTGTTCTTTCTTTCCTTTCCTTTCTTTTTTTTTTTTTTCACTACATGTGCATTGTGCAAAAGAATTTGTTCATGTTTTTTCAAGTGAATATTAACCTGCTGTTTTGGTTTTGTTTTGTTTTTTTTGTAGACACCCAAGTTTTCTGGGTAAATGGCAGGTAAGTTGCATTTTTTTCTTTTTCTTTAAGTTAGATTTAAAAAGTATCACCCTTTTTTCTAAAGTCTCATCCTGACACACTGAACATTATGTATAAATAAATATAATAACACATCATCTACTCATAGGGTAAAGATAAAGGTTTCTCCTGACATTAAGTCTAGTTGTGTCCGATTCTGGTTGGGTGGTACTCATCTCCATTTCTAAGCCGAAGAGCCAGCGTTGTCCATAGACACCTCCAAGGTCATGTGGCCAGCATAACTGCATGGAGCACCATTACTTTCCCGCAGAAGCAGTACCTATTGATCTACTCACACTTGCATGTTTTGAACTGCTAGGTCGGCAGAAGCTAGGCTTATCCAGCTCCCCAGATTCAAACTGCCAACCTTTCGGTCAGCAAGTTCAGCAGCTCAGCCGTTTTACTCAAATTAAAAGATTATTGTGGAACTCTCTCCCCAGGGACCCAACCTATCCACTTTTCGGAAAGACCTAAAAACATGGATGTTCCACTGTGCTTTCGATTAGATAGTTCCTCAGACAAATTTGGCCCCAGCTATGACCCAAGATCTAGTCCTTGCACTTTACAAACTATTCCCTGTCTATAGACATAGTGTTCTACTCCATATTGCCCTTCTACTCTGAATCTGTCATCTGGCTTCTGCACTTTATCCATCAACCCTGTCCTAGAAACTGATTTGCACCAGCTCGATGAAGCTCAGACATTGCTTACTATATCAAGCTATTGGTTGTTTGCTCGATGGTTGTTTTGTATTCTTTTATGTTGTTTGTGTTAAATTTTCAACTATTTTGATTGGGCTTGTCCCCATGTAAGCGGCCTTGAGTTCCTTCAGGGAGATGGAGGCAGGAAACAAACAAAAAAAATTATTATTATATATTATTATTATAATCATATTAAAGGATTATTGTGGTGAAGCAGAGTGGGATCTTCATAGTTACTATTTCTCAACTCTTCTTATCTCACAAGATGTTTGTGAGGATAAGACAGAAAAGGGGACAACTGCAAATGCTGTCTTGTGCCAATGGACAGAAAAGTGAGTTATAAATTAAATGTAAAGTGTTAAGGTAGCCACTTTTGAAGAAAAATTACTACTCATCCTACAACCCAGAAGATATTTTTTTTTCCATATTAGTACCACTTTCCTGCAGAAAACCACACACATACTAAATTTTCTTAAGCTTTCCAAGGCTGGAAAGGCACCTTTAAACCAATTTCACCACTCCAGAACTCAGTTATAAGCAAAGCAGTTTATTGAAGAGTAAATGTAAAGTTTCAGCAGAAAACGGTAAAAGATCAAAGGCTCAATATAAAGTTTAGTCCATATAAAACAAAGCACTTGAAGAAACTTGAAAACAGTAATCCAGAAGTCCAAGGTACATCCAAAATCTTGAAACTAATGTCTTTACCAAAACACAGCCACCAAGGAGGTCCAAAAGAACTCAGCAATTAAAACATAGTTTCATAAGTACAGGAGACCAGGAAACAATCTTGATAACTTGAAACGTGAGTCCACGAATATAAAACACATAGAAAAATTTGAGACTTAAGTTCATGAATACCAGAGACATGAGAAAACCTGAGAGAGGAAATTTGAAACATGAAACATCAAATCCAGACGTTGACTCCTCTGAGATACAATCGAATCAGGCCTCCTTTATACCTAAGAAACTGTGGCCAGGCCCATAGCCAGGATTTTAATTCTGGGGGCGGGGGGCTGATTTTCTTTCGTGGGGGGCTGAGTCTGGGTGAAAGAGGGTCTACCCTAGCAAACCTTTTGTATCGTTACCCCAATACCCCCATACATATGGGATATATTGAGAATGGTGATCAGATCATGATATTAATAAACATAACAGTTTAAATAATGTACCAGTAAGGCCTTCTCGTGGACCACCATGAGAATTTCGGGGGGGGGGGGTGAAGCCCCCAACGCCCCCCCCCCCGCTACATGCCTGATGGTGGCGTTTACCCTGAGAACTCTCTGCGGGGCCCTTCTCATTAGCGGGCTCTGGGAACTACGCCTCCCTTCACTTTCTTGTCTTTGTTGACAAATTGCCCCCCTTCTATCTATCTCAGGAGAAACAGGGAAAGAACCAGGGGGAGACACATCAGCAATTACCACATTCCAATCAGAGAATGACCTTCCTTCTCTTAGGAAGCCTGGCTCAGGCCTAGAAACTCTGTTGTTCTAACTGCAAATCCATTGTTGACCTGTAATTCCCAGAATCCCCAGCCCCATCAGGTACAGAACCAGACTCCTGTGAGACCTCAGGTGCTGGTACAATCACAGGCTGAATCATAACATAGGCTGCTGCTGCAGTCAGTTTTGTTTCCGGGCTGTGGCGCAACTGGCTGGGAGTCAGCTGCATTAAAATCACTACTGACTGAAGGTTGTGAGTTCAAAGCCAGCCAGGGTAAACTCCTGACAATTTGTCTAGCTTGCTGTCGACCTTTGCATCTGTCAAGCAGGAAATTTAGGTACCACTTTATGCGGGGAGGCTAATTGTCGCAACTCTGGGTAGATTCACCTTTCTCAGAACACCACACCAAAGGTGAAGGTTTTGAAGTTTATTGAAGAAAAAGCAAAGTCTTTAACATAAAAGTAAAGTTTCAAAAGTTCAGTGGCAAAAACAGAGTCTTAAAGGCAAAGTTTCCAAAGTTCAATGGCAAACAACATGAAGCATAATCCAAAAGCATTGATCAAACAAGATTCCATGGCAGCATGACAGAGTCCCAAGGAGCCAAGAACAAGACAAAGTCCCAAGAAGCCAAAAGCATTGCCCAAAAGCCAAGGCAATCCAGAGAAGTTACCAGGGTGTTTGCAGAAGTTGCACTGACAAAGAGTTGACTTCAAACAGCTCATTTAATATACTTTCCCAGCATGAACACATTCCTTTGACCTCTAACCTCTCTCTTGTTAGCAAGCCTCGCACTGCGGCGAACCCTGAATTGCAAGCGATCCTCCCTATCTAAATCTGCAGAGCCTTCAAGGTCAGATAGCTCATTACCCTGAGAATCGGCAGCCTGAGAATCGGCAGGCTGAGAGCTCGCCTCCTCCACCTGCACCTGGGAAGTTTCACTAAGATCAGAAACATCTTCCAAAACATCCCTTGCCATGGGAAACTGAAACTCCTCGTCTTCAGTATCAACATCGTCTGTATCAACAACAGGAACATGTTCAGGAATCTGAAAGCCATCATCCTCTTCCAGGCCTGCAGCGGCTCCAGCTGAGCCATAACACTAATTTAACCAATTTACGACGCCATAAAAATCTCCAGCAGTGTGCAAAAGAATGAGGAAGTACTCCATTGATGTCACAAGTGGATAGTGAAGCAGCTCCCCTAGTGGCTGGAATTCGAGCATACCCTCATGAAGCTGGAATGTTAAATAGCCTCTGTATGTCTGTCTGTATATGTTGTGTGTCTATAGCATTGAATGTTTGCCATGTATATATGCATTGTAATCCACCATGAGTCAATGTGGGGGTGAGAAGGGCAGAATACAAATACTATAAATAAATAAATTTCCCATCTTTTATTTTCAGGGAAAAAAGTATTAATTGTCTATGCACACCAAGAGCCCAAGTCTATGAATGGGTCCTTAAAAGCCATTGCGGTGGAGGAACTGAGTAAACAGGGCTGCAGCGTCACTGTTTCTGATCTATATGAAATGCAGTTTGAGCCAAGAACAACAAGAAAGGACATTATTGGTGAGTATATAGACTATGCTGTGGAGATCAGACTGTCCAAAGTTACCTCTTACAGGTACTTTATTTTAGGGGTAACAGGATAATTTATTGGTGTTACTCATCACAATGTTAAAGGAAAGTTGTTCTTTTTGTACTCATACTCAAGGGATATGACACCTTAAGGACTCACAAATGTATCATATTGTTGGCTTTCACAGGCTGTCACCCCCCCCCCCCCCCCCCCCGCTATATCATTGAGTTCCAAATCTCAAGCCCTTGAGTACATTACACATGGTTTGAGATGGGGTGTAGACAATCAAATATAAGAAGTTTAGAGGTGGGCAGATGTTTTATTAATGTTGGCCATTTAACAGACAGTTGTGTAGAACATAAACAAACCAATTGACATGTGCAATAGGATGTTAGCCCACTGTCCTAATTAAACTTGCTAATGAATTAGCTTCTTACAGCAAAGATTCTTGTCGTATTTCTTCTGCAGGTGAGCTGTATAACCGAGAACAGTTTAATTATGGAGTTGAGGCATGGGAGGCTTGCAAAAATGGATGCCTATCTGAAGATCTGAAGGAGGAACACAGGAAAGTGAAAGAAGCTGAGTTGGTGATCTTTCAGGTCATTCTTTTTAAAACAACCCTTGGGAGATACTCTACTTTCAATATAAGATCAGGGATAGGGAGCATATACCCCAACCCCTCTGTCACATCTACACTGCCATATATAATCCAGATTATTTGAGTCTACACTGCAGTGAGGGACTTTGTATTTCTAGCTGTGAAAATTGCTGCAGACTGCAGCTGGGAAATCAGAAGATGTTTATTTCTTGGGAGAAGAGCAATGACCAATCTTGATTAAAACAGTGAAGAGTAGAGACACCACACTGGCAACGAAGATCTGCATAGTTAAAGCAATGGTATTCCCCTTAGTAACCTATGGATGCGAGACCTGGACCATAAGGAAGGCTGAGCGAAGGAAGATAGATGCTTTTAAACTGTGGTGTTGGAGTAAAATACTGAGACTTCCTTGGACCGCGAGAAGATCCAACCAGTCCATACTTCAGGAAATAAAGCTCAACTGCTCACTGGAGAGAAGGATATTAGAGGCCAAGGTGAAGTACTTTGGCCACATCATGAGAAGACAGGAAAGCTTGAAGAAGATAATGATGCTGGGGAAAATTTAAGGAAAAAGGAAGAGGGGCAACCAAGGGCAAGATGGAAGTCCTTGAAGTGACTGGCTTGACCGTGAAGAAGCTGGGGGTGGCAACAGCCGACAGGGAGTTTTGGCGTGGGCTGGTCCATGAGGTCACGAAGAGTCGGAAGTGTCTGAACAAATAAACAACAATGAACACACTGCCATATAATTCAATTCAAAGCAGATAATCTGGATTTTGTATGGCATTGTAGATGGAGACCAGGATGTTGGGTTGCAATTTCCCTGATCCTTCACCATTGGCTAAGCTTATTGAGGCTGGTGGAGTTGTACTCCATCAACACATCTGGTAGTTCAGTAGTAGCCACACATTAGTAAGTCCTTTCAGTCGTGGGCTACTCAGTGGACCTGGTTTTGTGCCATCGTTTCATTAGGCAGTCTGTCAAAGAACTTTCCATGGCTCATAAACATTGAGAAAATGAATGACATTTTCTGCTGGCCCTCTGGCATATGCCGAAACCTGGGCATATGCAAAAGCTTTGTTTAGTATTCAATAGATCAGAATACTTTGGTTGTCTTGGCAGGAAGAAAAGATGCTTGTGATAGTTAGAGGAAACTGAATATACAGAAATTACCTCTTTACACAGTACATGTCAACAAGATGTAGTGATGGTTGCCAATTTCCACAGCTTTAATACAGAATTGGACAAAACCCAGCAAGGATAAGGCTGTCAGTGATCAGATCATTGAACGGTGTAGGTTTGCATTTCTGGGTTTGCCCTGTGAACTGAGATTGACATAAATGAAGGGAACCAGTTTTATAGGAAATCATTGGAGATCATGGGGAATGAATTCCAACAGAATTGATATAGCCGTAAGGTTAGCCATTTTTGTCAATCTACCAGAAGTCTACCAGAAGGAATCCAGAAGTCATGGTACTTGGTCGACAAAATATTACTCTTGACCTTCTGATTTAAGATATTTTCCGTGAGTGTTCCTATTGCTGAGGATGAAGCCGATGGCTGCAAGATGTCCCCTTAAAGTCAAAAGCACTCTCATTTATTATTTTTTTAAATCTAGTTTCCATTATATTGGTCCAGTATGCCAGCAATCATGAAAGGTTGGATGGACAGAGTTTTGGTCCAAGGATTTGCTCACAACTTGCCGAAGTGTCATGAGAGTGGTTTACTCAAGGTATGTTTATCCACTCTATGAAACATGTTGTACATTTGGATAATTTTTGCATACTATGTCTTTCACTATTCCACTATGTATTTCACTATTGAACACCAAGCACAAAGTAGCTGCACACAATAATATCCTGCGAAAACTTACTGGCAGCACATGGGGTGCAGACCCAAAATTAATAAGAACATCAGCCCAGGCCTTGTCTTACTCAACTGAGAGTAAGCCTGCCCTGTTTGGCATAGGTCTGCCCATGCAAAGCAGGTGAACATGCAGGTTGAATGAAACATGCAGAATAATCACAGGGTGTCTTAAACCTACACCTGTTGATAAACTGTACAAGCTAGCTGGCAAGATGTTACACAAGCCTGTGGATTGTTTTATCTGAGATCCTGTTGGCCAGTGTAATAAAACCAGTGCAGTTTGTAGCAGTGGCAAATTGGTTGCAGTTACCATGATAATGGGAGTGACTGACTACAACCAAACAGTGAAGAGCTACTTGCCCTTTCAAAAGACTGGCAGCCAGCAGGCAGCTTTCTTTAGCAACTGAGCTGGTTTTCTTTACACTGTCTCTCTCCTCTTCTTTGAGAAGTGCCTTCTGCCAACATAAGGTTCCAGGAGCATTCTGGTTGTGGACGGTGCTGGGGTTTTTCTCTTGAAAAATAATAATAGACATGTGTTTTCTCCCTTTATCATTCCAGAATAAAAAGGCCTTGCTTTCATTTACCACTGGAGGAGATAAAGGAATGTTCTCAAAAGGAGGAATCAGTGGAGACATTCGTTACATCCTGTGGCCCATGCAGGTAACAAGTTCTGCTTCCTCTGATATAGTTCTTGGCTGAATTTGTGATTGTTATGAGTGGATCAGAGTTTTTTCTCAGACATTTTCCTCCCTAAGGGAAAGGGATTCTTTTCATGAGTCCCACAACTAGCCAGAATGGTAGTTGACCCCTAGTTTAACAATTGCAAGTGGAGAGAGGGTCCCCTGTCCCACCCAAGTAAAGGGGTCCAGGTTACTGATTCTCAGCATTTGGTTCTACAGATGTTTTGGACTTCATCTGACAAGAAATGATATTCAGGATGGTCAGTGGTGAACCTACTCTGAAAAAAATATTTACAAGAAAGTCCTATGATAGGGTCTCCCTAGGATCTCCTGAAGTCAGAAATGACTTGAAGGCATACTACTACTACTACTATTACTACTACTACTACTACTACTACTACACTAATGGGGACACCTTGAGAACTAAAACTGGGATAGAAATGCAGATGAATAAATATGTAAAAGGCTTTTCATTTAGAGCAGTGGTTCCCAACCTGTGGGTCGTAAGTGTTTTGGTCTCCAGCTCCCAGAAATTCCAGTCAGTTTAGCAGCTGTTAGGATTTCTGGAAGTTGAAGGCCAAAACATCTGGGGACCCACAGGTTGAGAACCACTGATTTAGAAGGTCACCATAGACCACAGTCAAACTGAGAACAGTTAACAACAGTGACAAAAATCTAAGGCTGGATCTACACTGCCCAATAATAATAATAATAATAATAATAATAATAATAATAATAATAATAATAACAATAATAATAACAACAACAACAAATATATTAATTAAAATAAATAAATAAAATAAAAACTAATAAAAATAAAAACAAGAAAACTCATGACTATTCGCTATGACATACTGTGCTTTTGTGCCAGTAAAATAACAACAACAATAATAATAACAACTTTATTTTTATACCCTGCCTCCATCTCCCCGAAGGGACTCAGGGCAGCTTACAAAGGGAGAAGCCTTAAAAACACAGATTAAAACATAGCAAAATAAGATAAAATCAAATCAAAATATCAAAATAAAATTAATATATCACAATAACTCAACATAACATCATAAAAGCAATCCCAAGGCTAGACCATAATAAATACAGAGCACGAAGGGCTCGGAGTTTGTGCAAAAGTTTCTGGATAGGGCTGAGGAAAATCCGATAAGAGATAGGCTGGAAGAGTAATGCCCTTTGGCATTAAAATAACAGGATTATAGGGCAGAGGGAACTACGAAAGTGTAGGAGCTGTTGGTAAGTTAGGGTCAATTATCTGGTGAACTGCTTAGTCATAGGCACAGTGGAACATCCATGTTTTTAGATCCTTGCGAAAAAACAGACAGGATATCCCAGGATCTGATCCCAGATTATCTGGCAGTGTAGACTCATATAATCCAGTTCAAAGCAGATAATCTGAGATCAGATCTTGGGATATAGGGCAATGTAGATCGAGCCTAAGAAGCCAGATAACCAGTCCTTCATGCAGAAGCTATGTATGAGATATTGTACAACTATTAGGGACACTATTGTACCTCTCCCCTCTTTTTTCTTTGCACTTGATAGTCCTAGTCAAATCCTTTAAGTGTATCTCTTGAAACTGACTCTGTTCACTCTTCTCACTGTTCCAGTGCTTGAAAGTGATTTAAGCACAAAGTAATCTGTATGGTTTTGTCCTTTTTCCCTCTTCCCCCCACCCTATTATTTTTCAATCCAGTATGGGATATTGCGTTTCTGTGGCTTCGATGTCCTTGCCCCTCAGATCTGCTTTGCCCCAGAGCATGCAGCCTTGGAAGAAAGAAGGCAAATGCTCTCTTCTTGGGAGAAGCGCCTGAAGACCATCTGGGAAGAGAAGCCTATAACATGCATTCTAGAGTGATATGACAATAAAGTTTGAGGAGGAAGATTAAAGATTTGCTCTTCTCTCATGCCCTGCCTTCATTTTTTTCTCATTTTTACTTTTGCATTGACTTCATTATTTTTTCCCTGCCTCTCCTTCTTTGCCCTTTTGCCATATGGAATGACTAAATGAAAAGAATCAGATCAGATGATGTATGTAATGTCATCTGATATATGTAATATATGAAACTTGACCCCATGCTTCTTCATATGGCAAAAACATAATCCTTCTACAACAGTGAGGAAAAAATAGGGTCATTTGGGTCTTGCAACACACAACATTGCATTGTGCCTTTGCTGTTTTGCTATTTTAATTAGGGGGTTAAATGCCAAATCATATAAACCAGAAAATTCCTACAGATCCTCTTTTTTTACACATAGATTTCTTTTTGTCAAAGAAATGCTTTCTGCTGACCATTTCATGCTTCCTTAGGAATAATTGGCAGACAAGAAGAGGCTGAGCTCTTTGGCCAATTTTTTGTGGATTCCAAAATAATTAGAATGGCTTCTTCTAGAATCCTATTAATCAGAGTTTGGAAACCTTATGATTTCTCTTGCTGTGTCTTCACTCTCCTAACCTTTGGACAATTCCCAGAATACCAAAATAGTAATGTTTCTAAATTCTGGAACAAACTACTGTATATACTCGAGTATAAGCCTAATTTTTTAGCCCCCTTTTAAAGCTGAAAAAGCTCCCCCTGGCTTATACTTGAGTCAAGCTTATTTATTATTTTACTCTGTTATTAGTATTATTATTAGTGTATTCGTTTTATTTCATGTATTATTTTACTCTCTTTATTATTATATTTACAGTATTTTACCCTATTATTATTATTATTATTATTATTATTATTATGACATTTATTATTTTACACTATTTATGAAGATTATTATGTTTATTATTTTATTTTTATGGCATTTATTATTTTATTCTATTATTACATTTATTATTTTACTCTATTATTACATTTATTATTGCATTTCCATTATTTTATTTTATTATTATTACATTTATTATTTTACTCTATTATTGTTGGAAGGATATGTAAGTACATTTACATTGAAGAAGGTTAGAATAATGATTTAATCAGAGTTGGGAAGTCTTATCTCAAATTACAGTTTTATGTAAATATTCAAAAACATTTCACCTCCTGATGCCTCAATTATGTAATTTTATTGGTATCTATTTTTATTTTGAAATTTACCAGTGGTGGCTGCATTTCCCAACCTCGGCTTATACTTGAGTCAATATGTTTTCCCAGTTTTTTGTGGTAAAATAAAGTGCTTTGGCTTATATTCAGGATGGCTTATACTCGAATATATACGGTATATGCTAGAATTGAACGATATGTTTGGTGGGTACCTATTGGCTGTTATAAAGCATCAGCTATATACCAAGAGGGAATGGCTTTGGAGAGTTTCAAACTATTTTCACCCTTCTTGGGGGCACTGCTCTGCAGTGGCTCTGCTCCTTCCTGGAGGACCGTTCCCAGATAGTGATGCTGGGGGATACCTGCTCGGACCCCTGGCCATTGACCTGTGGGGTCCCATAAGGTAAAAGGTAAAGGTTTTCCCCTGACATTAAGTCCAGTCATGTCCTACTTTGGGGGTTTGGTGGTCATCTCCATTTCTAAGCCAAAGAGCCAATGTTGTCCGTAGGTTCCTCCAAGGTCATGTGGCCAGCATGACTGCATAGAGAGCTGTTACCTTCCCATCGGAGCAGTACATTTGCATGTTTTCAAACTGCTAGGTTGGCAGAATCTGGGGCTGACAGTGGAAGCTCATGCCACTCCCTGGATTCAACTATGACCTTTCAGTCAACAAGTTTAGCAGCTCAGCGGTTTAACCCACTGCGCCATCGAGGGCTCCAGGGATACCACAAGGTTTCTTTCTATTCCCCATGCTTTTCAATATCTACATGAAACTGCTGAGTGAGGTCATCCGGAGTTCTGGAGTTGGGTGCCATCTCTACTATTCTTTTCTACCTAAATGCCAAGAAACTCCCTGGATCCTGGACCAATGTCTGACAGCAGTAATTGACTGGATGAGAGATAAACTGTGCTTGCACTTGGTGCTTTTGATAGATTTCTTTCCAGTAACTGAATAAAATGTTTACTTGGTAAATTCTACCTTGTTGCAGTTTAAGTACTGTGAAGCATTAGCGTTCCTTCCTTGCTTTTTAGGAAATCCTATGCTTTCCAGAGCATTTTGCTGAGCTGTCTTTTGCAATTTTGTTCCATAATCTGTTAATGAAGCTCCATAGAAGTACATTAAATGTTAAAGGAAAGTTACCTTTCATTTTGCCACAAGATGTCACCCTTGGACTGAATATTACCAAGTGAAACGGTATGGCCTTGAAGATGCAAAAAAATGGTTTTGAGTGTTGGCCTCCTATGCTCTGAAGACTTGAGTTGGATTCCCGGTTTAGCCATGAATAGCCATCGGGTAAACCTGGGTAAGTCACACACTCTCAGCACCCAAATGACTCGAAAGCACACCAACAACTCAGCAACAACAGAATGGAGTCCAGATACTAAAAAACTAAATTGTCTGTGGCTTCTCATCCACTTGGAAAACAATCAGTGGCCACGTGCAACCCAAGTCTTGACCACCTTTGCCAGAAACCAAACTGTCATTAACGGGGTTTTTTTTTACATTTCTTTGTCCCTTCAAGCTCGCTTCTATTGCACACACATTTTATATCCATATGTGCCTAAGAATTATATTTGCAAAATCTGATTAGAAAAAAATCTACATAACAAAACTTACACTGTAATTTGCATCTCTACAATGCCTCACATCTCATCGCAGGGCTCAATTTTGTCCCGTGTTGTTTAACATCTACATGAAACCGCTAGGACAGATCATCCAGAGTTTTGAAAAATAAAAAATCTAGAATTAAAGTGAAAAGTTTACAAGACTCAAAAGATTGAGGTGGACTGGCAATATCAAATATGGAACTATATTATGATGTGGCAGCCTGGATATGGATAAAAGAATGGATTTCTCTAAAAAATGAAAGACTACTCACAATGGAAGGCCAGATCTAAAATACGGATGGAACGCCTACTTAGTTTATAATAAAACGAAAACAGATCCCAACTTCAGAAAACACAAGATAAGAAATTCACTAATAAATACAAAAGAGTCCTTTACAATAAAATGCCGAATTGGACAAAACCACATGAATCTTTTCCACAATTAAGAACACCCAGAAGGAAATGTTTGCCTTACAAACAACTACTTTAAAAAGGAACATTGCAGAAACTAAAAACTTTACAAGAGTTACAAGAAGAAGATCCAATAATGACATGGTTCCACCACAATCAACTTCAACAGAGACTCTGGTCAGACAAAAAACAAGGTATATAAGAATTAGAGAATAATTGGATTTATCACTACAAACTGGGAAAATGTATCAATGCCTTCTGAAGCAATACACAATTGATGAATAAATAAAAGACCTCATGATCCAATGGGCAAAAAACATAAGGTGAGCAATAAATTTAGAAGAATAGGAGAAATTTTGGAAGGAAAGATCGCAATTTACAAGAAGTTGCTCTGTTAAAAGGGCCCCCGGTGGTGCAGTGGGTTAAACCGCTGAGCTTATGAACTTGCTGACCAAAAGGTCGGCGGTTTGAATCTGGGGAATGGGGTGAGCTCTCTGTGTTAGACCCAGCTTCTGCCAACCTACCAGTTCAAAAACATACAAATGTGAATAGATCAATAGGTACCGCTTCTGGAGGACGGTAACAGCGCTCCATGCAGTCATGCTGGCCACATAACCTAGGACATGTCTATGGACAACGCCGGCTCTTCGGCTTAGAAATGGAGATGAGCACTACCCTCCAGAGTCAGGCATGACTAGAATTAAGGGGAAACATTTACCTTTTTACTCTGTTAAACAATATTTTAAAAAAATGATCTACAGATGGTACATAATTCCAGAAAAACTATCAAAGAGAATTAAAACATTGAAGTTATGCTGGAAATGTAAACAAACAACTGAAACAACCTTTTATCATTTGTGGTGGACATGGCCAAAGTCTAAAGTCTTCTGGATAAAAGTGCATATTGATACTGAAAGCATAATAAAAAATGAAGTCATACTGAAACCTGAAAGCTTTTTATTGGGACATTAGACAAGCAAAAGATAAAAATAAATAAACACGGATCCTGAAGAATAAATCTGTTACTCTTATTAGGGAAGATGTCATAGTTTTAACTTTTTTTTTCTTTTACTTCACTTCCTTCCTATACGAAAGAATATATATAACAATACTTTCTCCCCCTCTATGTCTTTGATGATACAATAGACTCATGTGTAGGATGATTTAACTAACATGGCTCCATGACTTACATACTATAGTCTGTGATGTTTCCATCTTTCCCATCTGTTCCCCTTTTTAAATAGTTTGAGTTATTTTTTTTCCTCTTTTTTGAAAACAAAATAAAAACTTATTTGTACCCAACATATTGCTTCTAAGACTTTGCTGAATAAATATGTGTTTTGTGCATTGGCTTGTCTTTGTCCCTGATAGTTCAAAGATATACCTAGGTACATCAGTTTAACAGCTGAGAGACCTAGTTGCTTTGCATCAATGCTGGAGAACATCATTTTTTCTGAAGGTTGTGACTTCTAACAAGGTTATGCCTTTCCAGTGACTAGTAGTTTTCCAAAAAGGTTGTGAACCTCATTTCTCAAATGGCTATGGAGATTCACATTTGCCAAAAGTTAGAGTGGTGTCAAACTGCATTAACTATACAATGTAGACACACCCTAGGATGTATAACAAGGTAATATTTATTATTATACCCACACATAAAAAATCCATGGTGCAATCTGAGATAATGCAGGAAACGAAGTGCAATTTATAAACAGCTGGTCGCCTTTGTGAACAAGTCTATTCCTTGCAGTGTGTTGATCTCACTGTTTGAAGAAATCAGCCTGAAAGACAGGGCGGGCATCCCCTGAGGATAGGAATGCATTATATTACTTCTCCTCTCAATCTACCAACAACGATTGGGC